GCACTGAGAAATGTGTTTTTATTCTCAGTAGTTTTGCACTTGAACATATATGTGAGTTTGGAGGATTATTTTGAGATTTCTTCAGAAATAGGCATCTAAGATTCCATGGCCCAAGAGCTTGCATCTTGGAGGATATAGTCTTCAGGGAAGGCACTGACTAGTGACCAATATATGTTTCCCATTTCCATTTTAAACAGTTTTCATATACATGGTGACAGTTTAACAAATGGTTATGTTCTAGATCTTAAACATCGCCGAATACCAATTCTGTTCTTCGCAAACAAGATGGATCTCAGAGATGCTGTTTCCTCTGTTAAAGTCTCTCATTTACTGACCTTAGAAAACATCAAAGACAAGCCATGGCATATCTGGTAAAATTATGACTTTATAATTATAACTAAAAATAATATTTAAACATGAATTAAATACATAACTCTATTTTGTATTTGGATTTTGAATGTTCTAAAGTTTTTTTTAATGCAGATAAACTTATGAAGGCAAATTCATTTGACTTCATTGTCCTTAGGTTTTCTTGTGTATTCTAGTGTGCTATCCAACAAATCTGTTTACTCTCCATAACTGTCATTTGGAAAGTGTTACTTTCACCAACTTGATGAAAATGCAAAATTTCACTGATTACAAGGTTTGTGCAAGATGAAGAACAGAGTTGCTTCCTTCCAAGCATACATGATCAAATACCCAGTTTGTTTGTTTGTTTACATTTATTTTTAATACCTTTTATTTATTTTTTAATTCAATTTGTATGCCTCCAAATCCAAACAGTTTCACTGTGACTTACATTCAACTATAACATAAGCATAAATATCCATAGTATAGCCTAAAATGTGAAAAAATAAAATGTCAATTCTAAGTAGCAAAACATTAAAATTAACCAGTAAAAGCCATAACACTCTTATACAACAAAAACTAATGATATTTATATAATTACACTGAAATTATCCCTGAATAAAACCCATAATAACAGCTTCCAACAACATACAGTGGGGCAAAAAAGTATTTAGTCAGCCACCAATTGTGCAAGTTCCCCCACTTAAAAAGATAGGCCTGTAATTTTCATCATAGGTATACCTCAACTATGAGAGACAAAATGGGGGGGGAAAATCCAGAAAATCACATTGTCTGATTTTTAAAGAATTTATTTGCAAAAGGCCTGTAATTTTCATCATAGGTATACCTCAACTATGAGAGACAAAATGGGGGGGGAAAATCCAGAAAATCACATTGTCTGATTTTTAAAGAATTTATTTGCAAAAGGCCTGTAATTTTCATCATAGGTATACCTCAACTATGAGAGACAAAATGGGGGGGGAAAATCCAGAAAATCACATTGTCTGATTTTTAAAGAATTTATTTGCAAAAGGCCTGTAATTTTCATCATAGGTATACCTCAACTATGAGAGACAAAATGGGGGGGGAAAATCCAGAAAATCACATTGTCTGATTTTTAAAGAATTTATTTGCAAAAGGCCTGTAATTTTCATCATAGGTATACCTCAACTATGAGAGACAAAATGGGGGGGGAAAATCCAGAAAATCACATTGTCTGATTTTTAAAGAATTTATTTGCAAAAGGCCTGTAATTTTCATCATAGGTATACCTCAACTATGAGAGACAAAATGGGGGGGGAAAATCCAGAAAATCACATTGTCTGATTTTTAAAGAATTTATTTGCAAAAGGCCTGTAATTTTCATCATAGGTATACCTCAACTATGAGAGACAAAATGGGGGGGGAAAATCCAGAAAATCACATTGTCTGATTTTTAAAGAATTTATTTGCAAAAGGCCTGTAATTTTCATCATAGGTATACCTCAACTATGAGAGACAAAATGGGGGGGGAAAATCCAGAAAATCACATTGTCTGATTTTTAAAGAATTTATTTGCAAAAGGCCTGTAATTTTCATCATAGGTATACCTCAACTATGAGAGACAAAATGGGGGGGGAAAATCCAGAAAATCACATTGTCTGATTTTTAAAGAATTTATTTGCAAATCATGGTGGAAAATAAGTATCATCTTTTTAAGTGGGGGAACTTGCACAATTGGTGGCTGACTAAATACTTTTTTGCCCCACTGTATAAAATGCACTTCAGTATGAGTGGCACTCTGGAAAAGCTCAGTTTTTACTGCTTTCTGGAAGGCCATACAGTCAGGGCTAACCTAATATCTAAAGGGAAACCATTCTATAATAGCAGCCACGACTGAAAAGCATTGTTTTTTGGCTTTTATCTGCTTATATCTGTTGCTACTGAATGTTCTGCAATGGCTTATAATATAAAAGCACAAGAAATTCAACTTTAGTATGATGTGGATATTGTAGAAATCTAATTCCTGCTAAACACTACTATAAAAAAGAGCACATACATTCTTCTGTATCTGATCACATATTGAATACCATGTTCTGAATAGCATGTTGAGGTAGGTTTGTCTAATAGATCAAATTAGGCAAAGAAAGTCAGAAGTGATAGGCTTAAATCACAGCTGCCCATTTTTGGACGGTCTGCAGGCACAGTCAGAATTTTAAGAACTCTTGCAAAATGACTTCTTGCCTGTTAACAAACCAGTCTCCATGGGGAATAACCACTTAAAAATCACCAGTTTGCTATAAGGCTTTTTGCCATCCCCTACTTTAATCCCCTACTTTATGTTTGCCATTTTTTCTGAGAAGATGGGCATAATAACAAACAAAGCACTGGGTTGCAAGCATTCTCAAACTTAGGGAGTTTGTTTGGGGCCCAGAAGCATTCTTGGAAATAAAAGAGGACACTGGCAGCTGGGTCTTTGATGCCAATTTCCTGATTTTTTTTTTTTTAAATAAAGTGTTGTTAAGGTATAAAGTACAATAGTGTAGGTAGCTTGGCAGGCATCAATATGGGCACGCAGAGAAAATCCAACGTGTTTATGTCTGCAACAGATCAGAAAGCAAGGAATAACTTCACATTTGATACCATCTAGGTTTGAGCCTTAGATGTAACTGAAGTCTGTGTATGTGCGTGATTTGAAGTTGCTTAATTGTAAAAATATTTGTTCAAATGTTTTTATTACTTAAAAGAAGTGTGTTCTTTCAGTGCTAGTGATGCTCTTAAAGGAGAAGGATTGCAAGAAGGTGTGGACTGGCTTCAAGGTATGTCTTATATTTTGCCTTACCTGTTTTTCTTTCCATAAGCCCTCCTTTTTAAAAAATATTTTTCCATCATTTCATTTTGCCTTTTTCTGCCTATCTCTGCTGTCAGATCAAATTACACAGTGAGTATCCTTATAATTATCTGGATGCTTCTTTTGATTACACATTGTCATTCAAACAAAGGTATCTCCATTTAAAATATTCCATTTTGATTAATCTATCAACAATACTTTTATCCCTAAGATTAAAGTCAATATATTGTTACTTATAGAAATATTTATTTCCTTCTTATTTTTAAAAAGTCCCAAAGCAATTTAAATTCATTGTAAAGAATACAATAAAAAGAAAAAGTAACATTTCTGATCTAAGTGTGATCCAAAATGATAGCTTTTGTTTAAAGCAGCTAAAAAAAACAGATATATGCCATGGTACTTACTATTATCACGATTATTTAATATGTGTTTTTACTGTTTCCTGTGTAAAAGCATCTTGAAAATGGCTTGCAAAATGCAACACAGTAAAAAACAATAAATTGAAGAGAATATAAAAACCAAAGCAGTTAAAAGAGAATGGGACAAAAAAAACTGAAATAGAAGCCTTTTATAAAACTTCATTCCAAGATCATTGTTCATGCTTGCACTACAAATATGCTGAACATGAATTATTTCATATAACATTACTTACAAGGCTGGCCATTCCATTTGTCCTCATAAGCCCTGTATTGAAGCATAACAGGGCAGATGATTGTGCTACTCCTGCCTTGCCTGAAGGTTTGAAGGTTTGCTTGCTTTAATATTACCTACAAAGCAACAGTGTTGCTTGTAGCTGCCATAGCAATAAAGCAGCTGGAGGTACCTTTCTCAAAGCTGGCCATTGGGAAGAGGCACTGGAAGACTATCTTCAGTTATTTTCCCCCAGCAAGAATGCTGATAAATCTACATAAAGAGATTGTTAGGTCCATTCACATCATTCTGTTAAAAGATTTATCAGAATAAGATATTGAAAATGAGTTTGGGCTTTTACAGTAAGAATGTGCTCTTTTTGAAATAAAATAATTGGACAGCAACAGGCAGTTTCATATAGTTTGTTTGTTTGTTTATTATTAAATTTATATGCCACCCATCTCCCCCAGAGGGTGACTCTGGGCGGCTTACAATTAAAAACCAAGACAATAAAACAATAAAAATATGAATGACCCCCGATTAAAACACAAACAACAAATCTATTAAAAAATATATACAAATCAAGAAGATGGGGGAAGCAGTATCAATCATCCCATGAGCCAACTCCAGCAATGCGAGCCCCCATCAGGCCCCCAGGCCATCCAGCATTGCCATGTTTTTACACCTTTTCAGAAGGCCAGGAGAGTAGAGGCAGCCCACACCTCAGCTGGCAAATTGTTCTACAGGGCAGAGACCATGGCAGAAAAGACCCTCTTCCTAGACCCTGCCAGCCGGAATTTCTTGACTGGTGGGGTCCGCAACATGCCCCTTCTGCTGGATTGAGTGGGGTGGGCAGATATAACCGGGGCAAGACGGCTCCTCAGATAACCTGGTCCTGTGCCATGAAGGACTTTAAAGGTAATAACCAACACCTTGAATTGGACCTGGAAGCAAACCAGCAACCAATGCAGCTCACGTAACAGAGGTGTTATATGTGCTGCTCTAGGGGTGTTCAAGATTGTTCACACTGCTGCATTTTGTGCCAGCTGTAGCTTCTGAATACTCTTCAAGGGTAGCCCCATGTAGAGCGCATTGCAATAATCCAAATAGTTGGCCAACACTTTATTTTAAAACTTTGCAGTCAAGAATTTTATGCAAAACGAAACCACTAGATGTCAGCAAAGATTGAAAATTGAGATGCAGAGAAACCTCATTAAATACTACAGAATTTATTATATGGAATATGCTACGGTCCATAATTTAAAACTTAAGAATTATAAGAATCTTGGAATAGAATCCTTAGAACTGTGTATCAAACTCCAGGCTTCTGGACATTTCTGTGCAGGAACCCCAAAATCTTTAAACATACTTGTACATTATTCCTTAACAGTCTAAAATGCTTCTGAATGGTAACAATGTTGGATATGTTTTGATGGTATAATGTAAGAAAACAGCATTTTAATGTGAATTTTTATTTGTTTTTATCTAGATCAGATCCAAATAATGAAGACATGAAAAGCTAATGAGCTAATGGAAATATTAACAATAATTTATAGATATTGAAGGCCTTGGAGATAAAGACTTTTTAGGCCTGTGTGTTTTCTCATGTTGGCTTTTATAAAAGCCTTTAAAAATAAAATAGTACTTTTTGCTAATAGCTCATAACGGCCATAATATGACCGTTAGATGTGGTCAAATAAAAGAATGAAATAATTGTATGCTATTTAAAAACCTTTGGTATGTTTTTGTTTGATTTTTAGAGCTTAGGGAAAGGATCTTACATCTTAAAAAATTGATTTCTGAAAAGCTTTTCATAGTATCTTGTACTCAAAACTTCACACTGGCCATGTCTCCCTGTTGAACTAAAATTTGGTTTAAATTAATAGTCACAAAAAAGAAAAAAATGCTACAAGACTTAAGCTAGGCACTTCTTGTTCTTTTAAACTTTTCCCCTGCAGTTGGAAAGACTACTTTTGCAGCTTTTCTTTCCCATCCATTTTTTCCCATCATGTTGTATTTGTCCAGTCCACAGATCATGGTTTACCCCAGCTCTGGTTGTGTACAAAATAACTTCAAACCATAGTTTGAAATTTGGCTTTATAAACCTGTTTTTTATATAACAAAGCATTGGGAAAGAGTTATTCTTCCAGCCAGATAATAGAAGAAGAAAGATGGGAGATGTGCATGCTCCAAGCTCAGACATAATGTGCAAAACAGAGTGGTTTTGTTCCAGAATACTCAGTTTTCTTTAAAAATATTCCATTTTCTTCTGGAACAGGCTGATCCACACATCAGGGAGGTTTTTGCATCTCCAGAATTGTAACATCGGAAAGTGTGGTGTTCTGGATGATACACTTCTAAAAATGCACAAATCACTTAAATCAACCCCTTGGGGCAGGGAAATTGAACATTTCAAAAACAGACTGTTCTATTTTGCACACCTGTACTCAAATAACACTCATACACATGATACACATCTTGCATGTCTTACTAGGCCATTTTAGCATGTAAACCGGCCCACTGCAATGGACCTTTAACAGAGTATAATTTTATCATGCACAGAAATCAGCTATACCACTTTTTCATACAATATTTTAGGTAGATGTGAATTGTGTTTTTAAAAGCTGTTTGGATGTTAATGAATGTGCTATTTATGTGCTAAATTACATTGTTTTCTGTAATAGCTAAAACAATATTTTGATAAATAAAGTACATAATTAACATAATGAATTCTGTCTCTTTTAAGATGAGAAGTTGCATTTATGAAATGAAATAGTTTGAAGTATTGTAGGGAGCATTTTCTAGAGACCAGGCTTCACTTGGGAAAAATGCAAAGCAGGCAAAGCATTGGGTAAGCATTGCTCCAAGATATTTCAGATCCCTGGACTAATATTTTTTCCAGTTAAAAGATGAAGGTAACAGGCTTTCACTTGAGAGTGAGGCAGCCTGGCAGGACAGAACTTCCACATCTTTGTGCTGCATCAACAGAAGGGAATGGTTGCAATTTCTTTATTATTTGTTTTATGTATTTATTCCAATTTTGTGGCTACCTGAGTCCTTGGTGACTCTGGACAGCTTATAAGTAAAAGAAACAATGCATATAAAAGAGTACATAGCCAACCAGAAAAGCAAACTAAGCTAAACTAAAAGGGGCACCACAACCACCCTATCCCAAGACCTGGGAAAACAACCAGGTTTTTAGTAATTTCTAGAATGTCATAAGGGTGGGAGCTGCATGAATCGATTGCATGGCTTTAAGGATAGATTTTATATTATTAGACACTTGAAAAGGATAGTTGAACTTTTCAACTGTCTTTGTAGAAAATGACATTAATCCCATTAAAAATAATCACATTTTTATTTTGCAGCACAGAACTTTTCTGAATAAAAACAATGTCCATTTGACATCTCCAGCTATTAACACACCTGATCAATCTACAGATATCATTGTATCCCTCTCTCAATTTATGATACATGGTAACACAATATTGAACGTTTAAGAACATAAAGGAACTTCTGAGAAAATAAGCAATGCAAACCACAGCTTTATTATACTAGGTTGGACATATATATCACATGAGCATAAAGTGTGCAATATACAAGTATTAGGTCAAAAAACAATCTGATGCTAATTATTCGATTTCTGCAAGCCAACCATAAAAGGGGGTATAAAAAGGTAATGGGAATTTACCTGAGCTCATTGGGTGCTCCTGTAAATTTTTGCAGCCTAAATATAGTATGCTTAACAGCAACAAACATAAGTAGATATCAAAATCTTATTGAGTATTTTAGAATCTCTCAATTCAGGGCAGCTGAATTCAGTGGGACTTACTCCAAATAAGTATATTAAGAGTAATTTTGTAATTTTAAGAAGACTAAAATCATTGGAGCTTACTAATGAGCAGACATATATAGGATTGTATTGTCTATAAATGAAAAAGGGAGTTAATGATATTATGTGTGTTTTTTTCAAAATTAGTCAAAGAGAAAATCAAAATGCAATTTGTTCAGAAACAAAACTTCAGTAGTTAGCAGTATAGCAAGTTTAATAATATTTTAGTGGGGTCTTCTTATTTAGCTGTGAGCAATATATTCTGAATAAAGCATTTGAGATAGCTGGAGGTTTTTTTTATTATAAGTTCAATCTTGGTTGCTTTTGAGAGCTATCTAAAACAAGAATTTTTAAAATATAAAATACATATTTAGGCCTTATATGGTTTCACACGTAACCATGCTTCCCTTTGCCATATGCTATTACATTGTACTTTCTACATGGCAACTAGGGCCTCGTTATCATCTGTTTAATTTGCATGCAATTCCATGGTTCTTAAAGTTGGCAATTGGGGTCAGAGGCTAGAGGCTACTGCCACCTGCCACATGACAAATAATGTCTCCCATGAAATATATGAATGTAAGGCTAACCCCAAAGTGTGTATTGCTACAGTGCCTTGGTCATGATGTTTTTGGTGAATGTGGATTGATATATTGGTAGAGAGGGAACCATCATCTAAATGATCCAAAGCCTGTCCAGTCTTACTTTATTCCTAGGCTATGAACAAGGCTATTGGCATAACAATTTTAAAAAATCCATACACTGAAGTATGTCTGTATTAGCATTTACCCTGTCTATATTAGCATTTACTCTGCAGAGTTTAAATTTATTCTAACAAAAGTATATATAAATGCTAAGGTAGATTTTTCATTATTATAACTTAACATGTTGAAAGAACTGATCAGCTACACTGTTGCAAATATAACATGATTCCAGAAGCAGAATTAGGTTATTATTTTACTGCACAATAAAAGGAAAAGCTATAATTCAAGCATAAGCTCTCTTGGACAGCTTCCAAGGCCTCAGAAGATGAATAGAGACAATACCTCTATTTATCTATCCATCTATGTATGAAGAGAGCCTGTTTGGTGTAGTTGTTAAGGTCTGTTAAGATGCTGGCCTGGACTGTGAGTTCTAGGCCTCCCTTAGGCATGAAAGCCAGTTGGGTGATTCTGGGCCAGTCACTCTCCCTCAGCCCAACTCACCTCACAGGGTGGTTGTTGCGGGGAAATTATGATGGGAGCATTAGGTATGTATACTCCCTTGAGTTGACCAAAAAAAAAAAAAAGGATAAAAATATAATAATATATTATCATAGGTATTGGATAGCTGCTATTCACCATTTTAAATTTCCCACACTGTCTCAGAATTGCACCATAATAGTAAATTAATATGTAAGTTCAATCAGCACAAATTTATTGTGCTGGGACTGCCACCATTGATCAAATAACTGATTTTAAGTGTTTCATATATTTGGTGCACAGTATTTGCCAAAGACCTAAGGTCATTAGGGTACTCTACTCAGAAGACTGTTAAGTGGGCGTGGTAAAATTTCATCCCATACCCTGGAGTGACATTCTAAAGGCACTTGCTGCTTTGCCATGAACCTAGCAGCAGGGGCTTCCTCAAGGATGGGTCCAGCTCTGCAGGATGAAAGAAGTGCTCCTGTACATACTTACTTAACGTTCCCATTGGAATATATGGGACTCTTTTCAGACATCGTTAGTTTAGTTGCTTTATTTGTATATTTTTCTGTACACATGTCATTCAAAGCAGTCACAGTGAAATGTTAAAGCAACAAAAATAGTTTCAGATTGTTTACACAGATATTGGGCTTTTATTTTGGAGATAAGACATTGAAATGTTCTTAAAAGGGAAAACTGATTTATGCAATGGAACACAATTATTTTAGGCTCCAGTCCAAACACATTTATTCAGAGGGCTTCCTTCTGTGTACATGACTTAGAGCATTTTTTGTTCTGGAAAAGGAAGTGTCTTGAGGAAAACGGATGAAGAAGAATAAATACATTTAAGATTATGTAGAAAGACAGGCTTTGGTATGTCCTAGTTACACCAGTTTTTAATACAGTACTTGTAAAAAGAAAACAGCTCAATTGTATATTTAGTATGAGGAACCTAAAAGAAAACAAAAACAAAATCGAGTGCTTGTAAAACCTAAAGACTAAAACAGGGCAATCAATTTATGCCCATCTAAAAATAAGTTTCATTTGACTTAAGCAATCCTGACTAACACCGAGCTGCATTAAATTTCTGGGACATGATTTCATCAATATTTAGTGGTCTTAGGCCCAGAAGTATGTATGCTACAACATACCTGTCTTCCAGATGACACAGAACATAAAATTTTCCCGTGTTTGCGGGTTTTGTTTTGTTTGCTTGTTTTGTAGATTGCGTTTTATTTTTGTTTGTTTTTGCAATAATGGACAACTCACAGCCTTAGGAAAATGAAAGGACACGAAGTTAAGTTTTAAATGTTTTAAGAATGACTTTTAAAACAGGTTTTCAGCAGGTTAAATTAGAGGTGTTTGTGCAGCCACCCCCACTGTTCCTTTCACGCTGTCCTCGAGAAACTACACACCTATTGGCGGTGACTGTTTATTTTCGGAGGAAAGGCAAAACTCGACCAACCTGAAGTTCTCGGCCGCAGCGCGCAAGGGAGGAGCAGGGGAGGTGACACCGGCGACCAAAAACTCCGGATGACGCGCGCGGGAACTCAAGCTCCTGCGCGGTTGGGAAAAGGCGGGTCTTGGAGGGAAGGGGCCGTGCTGGTTAGGGCCGCGGCCCTCCTCCTGGGCCGGGCCGCTGAGGGAGCCGTGCAACCATTTCTGCCTCCACAGCGGAGAGGGAGGGCTCGGCGGCGGGCGTCTCTTTACTCGGTCCCGCTGGAACAATAGTGGACTAGAAAGTTGGGCAGAACGAGGGCTTCTGTCCCCAGGACGAGCGCGGGAAGAAACTGAGGGGAGAGTCGCCACCTGTTTTCCAGCCTTAGAAAAGACGTGTAGCCTGCTGCCTCCCTCACTGTCGGAGATGTCTGGAGGGAGTACCCGGAGGAGAACCAGTTCCCCCTGGCACAGCAGTTTCTCTCGACTTTTCACGAGAAGTTCTTCCAAGGAACACGAAGAAGAGAGCAAAGTAGCCCCTGAACTGCACTGCGCCCGCAGGTAGGGACGGGGCACAGTTTGAAGCCGGGAGCGACGACTCTTTCTTCCTTCTTGGCTGGAGTGGCTTTGCTGGGGCTCGAGCACCTCATCTCCTTATTCGCGTCTTTTTTCCTTCACCTCCTCCTCGCCATCCTTTTCCCCGCCCTGCGCTTCGATACTTCTCTGGCATCATCCCCTCACTTTGGCTGAGTTCGCGACAAAACCCTGAGCCACAAACTTGCCAAACGCTTTTTAGCCCTGCGCGTGCTCAGCCGGCGTTGTTCGCTGAGGGTTGAGTGCGTTAAGCAAATCCGCAAAATGGGGTTGAGGAAACTGTCTTTTTGCTAACCCTGGGTAAACGTGTAGTGCGAACGCAGCTTTTGTAATTCAAACAAAGCGGTTGTCCTCTGTTTAAATAAGCCGAAAAAGCCCTCAGAAGCTAAGAGCATCTTCGGTATAAGTAATTTCACATGGAACAAGGCAAATAAACTCTGCAGAACATAGGGTCTCGAACGCTTTGTGGACATGCGAGAAAAACAGGATCTGGATAGGCATTATTCTTTCGGCTCTTTCTCTTCCTCCCGTTCATCCACTTAGCCAGAAAACAAAATGGGATCATTTAAGTTCAAATACTGGTTTCAAGCACTTTTACATTTTTTGGAGCATAGCATTTGCCCTCGGAGAGCCTTTTGGCAAAAGCTCTTCTGGGTTGCAAGGTGTGGAAACTCCCAGTGATAGTTCTGATAATAAAAGCAACTCGTCTAGGGAGAATGGCAGGACATATTTATTTCACATTTTATATTTTATTGTATATTTTATTCTGAACTGCCCTTGTGTATGTGCACATTTGCATGGATGTGTGATGGGTACTTTATAAACTACAAGGTAACACACAGTTAATAAATACTGTGATAATATAAGATAATTCTGCAGTGATTTAATACATCCATTCTTAGTTTTTATAAGTTAGATATGGTCGTTTCTCCCACTCCTAAATATCTAATGTCAAGAAAATAAATTTGACTTTGTAGACTTTTCAAAATGCTTCTGCTTCAAAATCTATCAAAACTTGTACTGAAATCATATTATCCTTTCAGAAGTAAGTTCCACTGAATACAGTCTAACTCAGACAAGCAAACGTTCTTAAAATTATTTGTCACAGTCAATATTCATTATCCATAGCCTGAGTTATACTGATTCAGTGCAAACATACAAAATCATAATTAAGGCATTTAAAATATTTTTATTTCAGAACACTACAAAAAGGTCAGAACAGCACCATAACAAGTCCAGTAAGGTTAGAACAACCCATTTTGAATTGCTTTCAAATTTGAAACATGTTACACGCCCTTGGTTGAAACTGTTTAATACCAGTCTTACAATGCATATAATGTAATGGTCCAAAACTTAACAAACAAACAAGTTTGGATCCAGTATCAGTGTTGATCAACATAATGCATTCTTGTTCCTCCCTTCCCTTCCCTTCCCTTCCCTCAGCACACCCTGAAATGGAAAGGGGAAAGAATGAGAGGAAATCCCATTGTAAGAGTGGTATTTGCCCACATAATGTTTGGTAATTTATCTGTAGCAAAAACAAAAAGTTAACATTTTAACATTTTGTAATATTTTATTATGTGCTATGTAATGTTCTGTTTCCCAGATTAAAATATTAATAAACCAAACAATTAAAAAAAATTTTTTTTCATATTTTAGTGCATGGCAATATTGGTTAAGGCTTCTCCATGTTGTATAATCTGGTGAATAAGAAATTGTGTGACATAAAATTGGTTGTTTAATAAACTGATCTGGTTCTTAGTTAACCCATAATTAAAATCTAATCTTGTTTAAATTAAAGGTATAATTACTTCCTAGAGATATATTTTACTTTCCAGTTTTGGACATTATAGGAAATTATAAGCAGTTTGGCATTTTGTTTTACCTTTTATTTAGCAATAAGAATAATTAAGATATAACAGAAATATGGATTTTTTTCAGATGATTAAATAACGTAGATTGAAAATTATTTGTTCAGAAAACTTCACACACAAGTTATTTTGTAGAATTTATACTTAACAGTTATACAAAGTTCCATTTATTTCAGTGGTCAACTTTTGTGTCCATAGAAAACTCAAAAACAAAACGTGAGTGCTATAATTTGTATTCTGCTTGCCCAAAACTGGTATTCAGAAGTGTGTGTGTGTGTGGAGAGAGAGAGAACGAACAGCATAGTCATTGGTATCTATATTGGTAATTCATTTGTCTTTTAAAGTTGTCCAGTTTGTTGGCTATATTCAGGAACTGCTTCCATTTGAAAGTTTTCTGGGGACTGAGATGGGGCTTGGTTTACAGAGTTGCTATGAGATAAAGTAACAAGTGATGCTTAGAGTAATGATGGCAGTAAACAAAGAGTAAGCATGACTGAACTCAAATGCATGTTCATGGCTGAACCTACCCTATAGTGATAAGAATGGTGAAGCATCAGTACTTTTCTGTCCTTGCTGTTTCAGCAGAATGTCAGTCAGTGGTATCATTTATGGCAACCCATATCTTGTTGGGGGAGGAGGGATGAAATGCCATTGTGACTATTTTTTCTGTACTTTTTGCTGATCAAACTGCTCCTATTCGTTCTGGCATAGACTCCAGTTGGGCATATTTCGTTAGGTGACTAGGACAATGTTTTGTGAAGTCAGTTGGCATTGTTTGAGTTTGTAGACTCCAAGGAACTGGACAGGTTCTTTCCAATATGAGTTCTACAATGTGCAGACTGGATTCATCCCCTACCTGGTTTGTTTGGGTTTTCAGAAGGGATATGATTAGATACAAAAGGTGATGTATACAAAAATGCTTCTTTGAGGGATGGGTTTGTACCAACTACTTTAAAGGAAGCAATAGTATAGCCATTTCCAAAGAAACCATCTCTTGATCCAACTGTACTGGATAACTTCTACCTGGCCTCTTCTTTCCTTCAGGCCTAGATGTGGGACAGAAAGTCTTGGGGAAGATCTTTGTCAGTATCTGGAGAAAGAGAGTGAGACGCTTTTGGTCCCATTAGACCTCTCAGCATGGTATTGTCCTATACCACCTATGAGGATTGGGTTGAGTGGCACACCTTTTTGTCTGTCCTGAGTAGGCAATTCCATTCAGTACCAATGGAGGATGAGCAGTTGAGGTCCTCACCACACTTTTCTGAGCTACCGAAGGCCTCTGTTCTTCCCTCATTGCTCTTTAAGAACAATATTAAACTGCTGGGAGAGATCATTCATCAGTTTGGGGTGAGATATCAGCAGAGAGCAGATATCTGGCTATACATTTCCACACTGGGCCGATTAGATTGGATGGAACAAAATACTAAAACCAAATTCTAACAAGATGGAAGTATTGTTTGTTCAAAAACCATCTGGCTCCACATTGGATCCTGTGTTGGCTCTGGATCAGATGGCGCTCCACCTGAAGTGACATTGGAGTTTTCCTGGATTCATGGCTTCTACTTGATCAGCAGAGCTGTCACCATGCTTTGCCCAATTTTGTCGTATGTGCTAGGTATGGCAGGGAGACCTTGGAATGTGAAACATACGCATATTATCTTGAGACTGGACTACTGCAACACTCTCTACTTAGAACTGCTTTTGAAGAATACTCAAAACCAAGGTGGTATAAAATGCAGCAGATGAGAGTTGTTTCAGCAATATGACACCTATATTGGAGACACTGCATTAGTTACCAGTATACTTCCAAGTGAGAGCCAGTTTGGTGTAGTGAATAAGGCACTGGTCTAGAAACTGGGAGACTGTGAGTTCTAGTCCTGCCTTAGGCACAAAGCCAGCTAGGTGACCTTGGGCCAGTCATACACACTCAACCCTAGGAAAGAGGCAATGGCAAATCACTTCTGAAAAGTCTTGCCAAGAAAAGTATGGGGACTCATCTAGGCAGTCACCAGGAGTCAGCAATGACTTGAAAACACTCTCCCCCAAATCCCCTTCCAAGTACAATTCAAAGTGCTGCTTTTGACCCATAAAGCCCTTCATGGTTTTTCTCCTGAATACCTTCAGAATTACCTTTTCCAAGCAGTATAACTGCCTGTGTTGTGCACGCAAACGGGATGGGTGGATGCTTAAGGTGCATCCTGCCAAGAGATATGAGGACAGATGGCCTCCACATTGTTGGTATTCATTGAAGACAGTGAAATGCCTTTAATTGGGTATTTATTGTGGTGTTTTATTACAATATTTTAATGCTTATGAACCATCCGGGGTCTTTTGAATGGGGCAAGATATAAGTCTTGTAATAAATAAAATGAGGTATGATAGCAGTAAATCAGTTGTCAAATAGGAAAGCAGGCACCAATTAAATACCCATTGAACTCTTTAAAGCCATAGGAGAGGAGCCATTTAAAATGGTAACAATTATGTGTCAACAAATATGAAATAAAACTAAAGCTGAAAGACTGGAAATATTGGTGTATATGCTACAACATATAATGGGAATTCAAAATTACTGAACCATTACATTCACACAAGCTGAGTTTTACCAAAGATCTTACAACAAAGAAGAAGCCCATACATAAAACATTATATCAACAGGAAGGTTCCAGAAAAGATAGGGAAACACCTTTTAAATAATATTTAAATAGCTAACTTGATAGATAACAGAAAGAGCTGTTGATGTGAAAGATGAAGCACAACTCTGAGGATGAAGATTGCGTTTATTGAAATAATAATTGTTGGGTTCCAATTTACAAAGGAAGAGGGACAGAGAACAATAGAAAGGAAAATATTTTATAAGGATTTGAATCATTGGGTGGGAAATTATAGGGCTGTAATTGCTATCAGGGTCTTGGGACCATATAGGGAAAACTGGATAAGTTAGATTGTGTACGTTGTTAAGAAATACTGTGCTTTTTAGAGGCAGACCTTCCCCACTTTCATTTCTAGAAGCTTACACTGGACTAAAGGCCTAAACTATAAGCCAAAATAAAAAGCAAAACATTGACAATAGTGAGTACACAAGTAGCTGTTCTCTTG